CCACTGCCCGGCTATGCTACTTGTTTTTTAATAAGACAAATGTAATAAAATTGGAATTGTTTTGATTTTTTTCTCCCTGTCTTCAGAGCTTCATTCTTAATTCTATTTACCATGTTACTTGAAATAAAGCCCATTAATGATCCAATTTCAGTTTGGGTGAAAAGCTACTAGTGAAGTAACCATATGAGAACTTGTAAGATTTCCAAAACTTGGTACCACAATATTATTTTTACAATTTAAGTTGAAGGATATTTTTCCAACAAAATGAAATTAGAGCATCACATGACACTCTACACAGAAAATAGAGCCCGACATGAAAACTGTTTTAGTCAGTTCTTGTCCTTACTATTGTACTTGCTCCAGAAAAGTAGTAACTATTACAGGAAAAAGTGGTGTTGACATTCAACGTCAATCCCTTATTTCTCATTAGCTATTTGCTACAATTCGCTATCCTCTGGATTCTGTGATCTAATGAATTCTGACTCATCACTTAAAATCTCCCAGCTCCTGGGTTTCTTTTTAATCTTTGTTTTTACAAATATATATATATATATATATTTGTTACCAAATGCTATCATACAGATGAAAGGCACAAACAAACAAGCCTGGAAATCAGTCTGGTTTTGCTATTCATCATGTGGTGCTAAGCCAATTAACATTCTGAGCCTCATTTTCATGGCTCGTGGTTACAGAGTATAGATCCTTGTCGTTGCTTTACCAGCAAGTTTGGTACTAACTGGCAGCATCAGCAACATGTGATCTTGAAAGAAAATAATCCTAGGTTTAATTCAAACAATACCTGAACCTTAACAATTATCTCTTGCCAATTGACTGCATGCTAATATAAAGGTGATGTCATCTTCAGGAGAGATCTTTTTGTTTTGTTTTGTTTTGTTTTGTTTTTTCGGGACAGTGTTTCTCTGTATAGCCCTGGCTGTCCTGGAACTCACTCTGTAGACTAGGCTGGCCTTGAACTCAGAAATCCGGCTGCCTCTGCCTCCCAAGTGCTGGGATTAAAGGCATGCGCCACCACTGCCCGGCTTTAGGAGAGATCACTAGAGAATATTAACAGCCCTCACTGTATTACTACGGCTTATATCCTTTTTTTTTCTTTTTTCCTTTTGTTTTGTTTTAAAGATTTATTTATTTTATGTATGTGAGCACACTGCCGCTGTCTATTGACACACCAGAAGAGGGCATTCAGATCCCATTACAGATGGTTGTGAGCCACCATGTGGTTGCTGGGAATTAAACTCAGGACCTCTGGAAGAACAGTCTGTGCCCTTAGCCACTGAGCCATATCTCCAGCCCTAGCTTATATCCTAACTACTGGCAATGTTCCTATTTATCTACACAATACCAATTAAATAATTAGATTATGCTTTTGGAGGCTTTATAGTTGGGTATTAGGTTGATTAAAATGGTGCAGATGCAATAGTTTGGATTATAAGAATAAAAACATATACTACATATAAGCAAACGGAAATGTTTGATAACTAACTTTTACTGAGCACTCACAACAACAAGGCACTGCAGTAAAGGAAAAAGCTTGTAGATGATTAGTAAGATTTTAGCCCCCAGTTCCATGAAGTTTTTGGTTTTGAATACTGTTTATCTAAGAGGTTTCTCGGCTGTACTGAGGCTGAGTTTCTGTGGTCTATATTTCTCAACAAGACTACAAATCAAGAAGCCTTATGGGCAGGTTTCAGATGCATTTGTTATGGGACCATGGCTGGGTGGACACTGGGACCCTGGAAAACACTCACCATAGGCTGCAGCAATGCAGAAACCCTACAGCCTTCTTTCTGCATTCATGTCCTTTATCATCCCCTACCATGTCTATTCCACAAGCTCTAGAGAGCACAGAATAAATAGGAATGGCATTGACAGGCAAGTCATGAATATGATCTATAAATAAAAGCATATACATACACATCAGCCATCAGACAAAAGAGTTTACCTGCTAAGACATCTTACTAGTGCTCAGTTTGTGTATAAAGAGATATTTATCATGTTCTCATGACCATGCCCACAAACAATCATTGCATGAAGTAGACAGGAAACAGGGTGGAGCCTGTAAACTCGAGAATGTCAATGGCCTTGATCCCACCTGAATACCTCTGTCCTTTCCTGCTAATAATTCAAGTCTGACAAAGCATTTTATATGTATTTAGCTAACAATATGTATGCCTTTAACCACATCACCGCATGGCAAGAATAAAAAAGCATTTATTTACACAATATATTGAATGTCATGATCTTGAAACTAGAAATATATAAACTGAAAGATTTTAGACACATTTGCATTTAGTTTTACTATCCTATATGTTAGCATTCCTCCTAGGTGCCACCCCACAATTATCTGGCCAGAGCCAGGTATACCTAACTCTCTCTATAAAAAAGGCTGTTTGGCGCCCTCCTCTCTCTTATCCTTTTACTCTCTTACTCTCTCTTTTGTCTCTGCCTCTTCTCCCTCTCTCCCTATGCCCCTTACCTCCCTCTCTCCATGTGTTCCTGGTCAAAGAGGCACACCTTCTACCTCCCCATACCTGGATCCATCAAACACATCCTTGGTTCCTCTATAATTTTTATAAAACACAGCACTATATACATTAATCCAAACTTCATTCCTTTAAATAGTTTTCATACCATTCAATTTTTTCATGGACTTTCCCCCCACTTTAGCCATTTCAGTTAGTGTTCTCAATTGGCTGTATTATAGCACTTGCTATGGCCTGCCTGCAGCATAGCTGTAGCAATTTTGTTTTATCTCTGGCAGCTATTTTATATTGTTGCCGCAATATGCCTGCCAGTCATTGACACATATAAGTGACTTATCTCAAGGACATGCTGACTACATACCCTGTTTTGTTCTGTATGTTCTGAACATTCTGTGTGAGGTTTGCTAATCTTAAGAAATTCCACAAAGCTTTTTGTAGGACCTATGAAATCAAAGGTCAGTATGAATTGTTATGTCTAAAATAGCTTGACATAGAGCTGACCACTGGGAAGTAGTTCTTGCACCTGTGTATGAACTCATTGTGTTTTTTTTTCCTTTATAAGCTGACAGAGGAAGATGTCCAGTCTCATAGTTCTGAACTATGTCCTTGTTCTGACTAGTATTAAGGTGTGCATTCAATAAACCATCCCTGTCTTACTGATATCCATGTTCATGTAGTTTGTGGAGTGACCCTTAGCCACAGCATCACTAAGTAAAAAATTTCAGAGAAAGTTCTTTACTAACATATGTTCTTTTTTTTCCAAGACAGGGTTTTTCTGTGTAGCCCTGGCTGTCCTGGCCTCAAATTCAGAAATCTGCCTGCCTCTGCCTCCCAAGTGCTGGGATTAAAGGGATTAAAGGCGTGCGCCACCACTGCCCGGCCTAACATATGTTCTTAACCCATGAATATTTAAGAATTTTTTTCCAGTTGCTGGATTAGTTAGTTTTTTGTTGTTGTTATAAAATACCACAATGAAGCCAACTTACAAAATAAACAACTTATTTGGCATATTTGGTTTCCACAGGATTAGAATCCATGATGGTGGAGTGGAAGTCAGTTGGTGAGAGCTGAGTCTAAGGACTTATGTCTCCAATCACAGGATGGAATCAGAAAAACAACAAAACATCAAAAACAACTCCGAGAAAACTGGGATGACACATTTTTTGGAATCAAAAAGCCCATTCGTAATGACATACTTTCTCCAGCAATGCAATACTTCCTATTCCTACCTATACAGCATCACCAACTGTGGACCATGTATTCAAATGTCTGAGACTATGGGGGATACATTCTCATCCAAACCAACTTCCACTTACTGGCCTTATAGTCTGATGTCAATATCATAATGCAAAATGTATTTAGTCAAACTCCAAAAATTTCTAGTTCCTAAGCTTGGCAGAGTATACAGCTCTCATATAAAAACCTATTCTTCTGTATGATTTTATTGCATTGCTTTCTTGCATTTAGAGTTGCAAGAAAAAAAACCCCTTAGATTATAACTTGTTTTCTCAGTCTAAATACTTATACATCATCCCAACCTTGAAATTAAAACAAAACAAAACAAGATGCATTTAGATGTTATTTTCTCTTTACCAAAATTTAAATGTACCCCTTGTAGGTTTACACAGTTGTAGGTACAGTTCATTATTCATCTCTGGAAATAAGTTTTCAGTTAGTTTCAGAACTATTATTTCAACTTTATTGCTCTTGTTCTGTCTCAGGCATTCATATAAAAAGGAACATTTTTACTTATTTACTTATTTACTTATTTATTTATTTATTTACTTACTTAATGCAATTTTGAGACAGAGTCTCACCTATGTAACTCTCCTGCTGTTCTGGAACTCACTATGTAGACCAGGCTGGCCTCGAACTCACAGAGACCTGCCTGCCTAACTCCTAAGTGGTGGGATTAAAGGCTTGCGCAACCACGCTCAGCCCTAAAAATAGAGTTTTTATTTTACTGGACCAGCACTCTGGGTCCACCATACTGAGAGGATGTTTGCCTTTACTAATTTGGTTTTGTGGTACATATGACTTACATTTGTTAAGTCTTTCCTCAAACCTTCAAAACACCCTGACATCACTGTTATCAATGAATTTAGGTCTTATCATTGAACTTAGCATACGGATTTTACTACGATTAGTCCTTTTTATATCTTTCTCTATTATCACTTACTAGGCATTTCTTAGATTACTTAACTTTTCCCCTGTTAGCACGTTGTAAACAAAACAATTCCCTACTGTATGATTGGTGCAACGTAGAGATCCTCATTGAAAGCAACCCACGCTTTTATTAAAATTAAAAAATCCTTGCAATATGTGTTGGCTAAGGGCACAAACATAACATTTCAAAACACAAATTGAAAGCAGTGCGAAAGAACGCTCGTGACGTCATCTATATGCGCCCCGCCAGGGCCAATCGCCTGGCGCATAGCTTTGTGCTGACGCAGCACCAGCGCCGGGTTCGTTCTCAGTCGCAGAGTCCCAGCTTCCGGCGCGCCGCCCAGAGCGGTCGGAGCGCGCAGGCGCCCTTGCCCATGTCGGCCTCTCCGGGTTTCAGTGGTTAGACCTGGATCCGGAGCCGCCTTGAGGCGGGGCTGGGCCTTCCCGGCGGCCAATGGCGCCCCGGGTGAGGGTTGAGGGGTGGGAGGCGCTGGCCCGCCAGAGGTGCGGAGCTCCTCCAGCGCGTGTGCCCAGCCACTCGGTCGTCATGGACGAGGTCTTGGCTGAAGAGCTTGATGATGAGGAGCAGCTGGTGAGAAGGCATCGGAAGGAGAAGAAGGAGCTGCAAGGTGACGGGAAGGGAGCTGGGAATGTAAAAGTCCACACCCAGGGCTGGGAGCGTGGCGTGTGCCCTCGGGAACCTGGAGGGGCACGCGCCATGGATCTGTCTAGGCTTCACCTCAGATAACTTTTGATGTGTCTTCTCCAGCTTTCCCCATTCCCTCGGCGCCTTTATTTGCAGTCCTCGGAGGTGTCCCTGTGTGCGGCCGGCCGTGGACCCCAAGCCCGGTCCGGCGCACGTGCTGCTACTTGATGTGCCTGGAGGCCAAAGTCCTCTTCCTCCCTTCCCATTCCTGCCCCGGTTCCCGACGCCTGGCCTTAGTGGTGTGGTCTGAATTGCTTCACCTTGGCTTGACGGTCACAGAAAGGGATATTTTAAATGGGCGGAAATTTTATCTTAAATATATATATATTTTTAACCTTGGTTTTGCCCTGTCAAACCAAACAAATTCAAGGTTGTGTTTACGTTGGATCGTAAGCCTTATCCGGGCCTTTCTCCATAGCTGATTGTTGTGTCATGATTAATTGCTTCTATAATTACATTACATTCTATAATTATACCTCTTCCCACCCTCTTTCACTCTTTCTTCCTGGGGTTCTGACACGGAGGTTTTGATGACTTTTTAGCCAAAATTCAGGGAATGAAGAACGCGGTTCCCAAAAACGACAAAAAGAGGAGGAAGCAACTCACGGAGGAGGTGGCTAAATTGGAGAGAGAAATGGAGCAAAAACACAGGGAAGAACTGGAGCAATTGAAGCTGACTTTGAAAGACAGTAAGGTATGGGGAGCAAAGCTTGTCTCTGAGCCCGTGGAAGCTGTCTGAGTGTGCTGATCTGCTTATTGAATACAGCTTCACAGTTGGTTCTGAAATCAAGTCAGACAGTCACAAATCGTGTTTCCTCGTCTTTAGTTGGTGAGACAGAGCATCTTGTAGTCCAGGCTGTCACCCATGTGGATTTGGAGCAGAGGATAACCTTGAACTTTAACTTCATATCCTACTGCTTTGATTTCACAAGTGCTGGGATTACAGGCGTGCCCCACCACACCCAGCTTTACATTTCTTCAGTATTTTTGTGACCAGGTTAATGGCTGGGTTTTATTTTTTCCTTTTTTTTGTTTTTTTAAGGGAGAACAGCAAAGAAGTGCCTACTTACTTAACCTACTAAACTGTAAAGTCTAAAGTGTGCTAGATAAGGTTTCTCTTGAGTGAAAATTGGAATGCTAGATTGCTTGTCAAGACTTACTGATGAATAAGGTTGTAACCTCTGCAAAGTTACTTAATCAGCCCTAGAATAAATTTCTCCGCATGGGACAATAAATGTGAAATTATAGTTAAGTAGAGAGGTGCTTTTTGAACCAGCTGTAGTGAGTAAAGGTACACTGATGCGTTCTGTGTACATGGGAGTATGCGTGCGTGCATCTTTTCAGGACCTGCCATTCTGCCTAATGTGTATACCAGCTACTTTGTTCAGTGCATGTAGTTGTCAGTCACACTGTAAGGTAATAGCGATGAAGTAATGTAGATAATCACATGTGTCCAGAAAACAGCTCAAAGAGATTAAAAGAACTTTGTCCCGGAGTCATAATAGTTATTGAGGTGACAAAAGCTAGAATTCAAAGCAGACTCATCTCTATACCCTGAGGTAATATAGTAATTTGTTCCATGATTTTTGGATATGAAGGATCATATATTCAACAGTTAACTGTTGATTAGGATTTCTTAGTTTTCTGCAAGAACTCATCTTCTGGAAGTTTTGATTCATCTTTGTTCTGTTCACAACGGGACAGTTTCTGTGTGTCCATTTACACAGAGTATTAAGTACAGTGTCAGAGTCTGTGATTTCATTTCCCAGTCATCATATTCCTGGCCTTTCTTACTATTAAAATACCCTTATCTCCAGTTTGGCATTGTGATACATGCCTATAGTCTCAGCACTCAGGAGGCACTTAGGGAGGTTGAGTTTGAGGCCAGCCAGGGTTTTATAGCAAGACCCCTATCTCAAAACCCAACAGTAGCAACATAAAACAAAGTGACAAGAAAACTTTTATTGGGGCTGCAGTATGATTCACCGGGTAAGGTGCTTGCTGTTGAACCTGATCGCCTGAGTTCTATCCCTGGAACGCTACCTACATGGAAGAAAGAAAAAGTTGACTCATACAAGTTGTCCTTTGACCTCCACGTGCTATTGTGGCATGTATGTACATGCACCCATATTCTTTTTCTCTCTTACATACATACACACACACACACACACACACACACACTCCCCAAACAAGGTGTGGTGTTCTGTTTAGACATGTTGTTAGCATTGTGCTAATTGTGTTTCTAATTGTCTCCCTTTGTTTTCTAGCAGGAGGGTGTTTGTTCTATTAAGCCTTCAATTTTAAGATTTCCTTCATAGATTTCCAAAGAGAAAGAAAAGTTTGGTTCATAGTCATTTGTCACTTATCTGCTAAATGCAGATTCTCCAGTTTGCCTTGAACTGTTCTCTTTGTCATTAATTAAACTTGTTTTGTGTTTGGCTTCTCCCCAAATTCTTCTGTTTTTTTGTTAGCATGGCTGTTAGTTTTATCAGAATCCATGAAAAAAAAGAGAGAAAAAATCATAAGATTCATAGAATTGATGAAGTCAATCAGAAATTTTAATAGTTTATCGCCTAGGATATAGTCTTTGAAGACTTCTGTGTCTGTTTCAGATGCTTTGGGTTGTTTTATATATTATACTAAAAACTAGCTTGACTTACAGTTATACTAATGGTAACTAAATAACATTAATAAGAAACAGCTATTTATCCAAGTAGAAGGCTAACTTCTTTAACAATGTTAACATTTGGATTTAAAGGTCTTTGTAATTATTAATGATGTTACCAGTTTGTAGCTAGAAGAAGATAGAAATTGCTCAGTTGTTCTCACCTGAAGAATTAGTGCTCATTAAGTTTTGGCTAATTAACATGGGGAAGTGACTTGTCAGCTTTAGGATATGAAGGTAGTGATGAGCACAAACGATTTTACAGGTGAGCTGTCCTTGCATGAAAGTAAGGTGTTGAGAGTAATGGCGTAGGTCAGGAAGGACAGAAGGTGTGCAGGGATGAGCCTAGTATTTGCAGAGCTACAAACAGCTTGGCGATTTTACAGATTTATGGAAGTACAGAAAGGTGCCAAAGCATGCTACCTAATCCTGTGCTTATGTTGCTGCTCAAATGAGAAGTAAGGGATTGGATACATTTGTAGTTTTCAGTAACAATTTAGTAGCCTAACACTTTCAATAAATTAAAACATTTTTATTGATTTCTCTCTTTTGTTTTCCTTTTTTTTTTTTTAAATGTTTTTGTTCTTTCAGATAGATTCTGTTGCTGTTAACATTTCAAACTTGGTACTTGAGACTCAACCACCTCGGATTTCAAAAGCACAAAAGAGACGGGTATGAAAGTCATATCACCATGTATATAATACAATATTTTCTTAGTATTAGTCAATACTAAGTAATAATCAGTACTTTCTTAGGTATTATATAAGAAATGAATAGAGAAAAAAATTGGAGTTCCTTGTCACGGGACTTGAACTAACAAGTCCTTACCATATGTCAGATAATAGTCTAAGCTACTAACGATGAAATCTCATGTAGTCCTGGCAATCTTGTGAGGTAGAATTTTATTTCTTGGCCTTCTACAGAAATTAATAGGTATAAGAAATGAAAAATAAGATATCTAGTTTGTAATTCTTGTAGAAACCAGGGAGGCTAAGGACTGTTTCCTTCTTAGACAAATGCTTTATTGTGGATTTAATTAAGAAATTTCCAAGAGTTGGGTCATATGACTGCCAAACCCTGTTTAAAAATTACTGCTCAGGGTGAAGCTGATAACGCGAAGACTTGAACTTAGAAATACAAGAAAACACAGAGATCCAGAGTTCTCAGAAAATTATGTTGGTGTTTAAATAATGGTTAATATATAATAGTTAATGACATTAAAAATGCAAAGAAGGGAACTTCATGTCAGGTGTTAAGAATGTGTTATAATTTGAAGGAAAGATAAATTTTTAGATAAGATACTGTACATTGGAGAAATAATGTAATAAAAACATGAAATGAAATAGAGCATTAGATTTATTGGAAATAATGTATGACTGATCTTAGCATAATGAAAATGGCAGGAGGCGGGTAAGTCATTCCACTTTAGAAAAGGAAGTTTAAAATTCAGTATTTTGGTTCTGAATACTATTTTCCTAATTGTTCATGTTTTCTAAGCTCTAAATGTATATTTCAGAGTGTTTTTAGTATATAGTATAGTAGAGCATGGAAGGTCAGTGTCCGACAGAATGGGCCGTGTCCCCCCCCCCCCCCATATTTTAAATTGTGCTTTTGAGGATCAGACAGGGCCTTAGGCTGCTCCCCAACCCCAGGTATGGTTTGAATTTCATGTACTCTCATGACTTGCCATTCAGTTTCAATAATGGGTAAGGGAAAATAATATCTATAAGGACTATTGAGGGTATTAAATGATAAGCTGTCCAGAACCATAAATATAAGGTCTGGAGAACTGAAGTCTCAACAAATAATTACATTTACCATGTTAAGCATATCCTATTCCTTTTACCAGGGCCTAAGACAGTCTCCTTTTATAGGACAGCTAAGTTGCAAGTAATCAAATATTTATCATATTTGTATGAGTTTTACTCTTGACTAATATTGCCATTGTGAATTTCAAAGAATCATTTTAGAATGCATCCTGTCTTGAAGGGGCTACCTTATTTATGATAGCCATTCTTTTTGTCATGGTCTTGGAACTGTCACCTTGCTTCTATACATCAACAGGTGTTTGTGTGCCAGTAAGGTAACAGTTTTAAAATTTATTGATACTTAGTTGCAATATCTAGTGGTAGCCTATTTAATTCTAAAAATCAAGCTACTGTGTACCTAGACCTATCTTTTTAAAAAAATTTGTTAATTCTTTCCTATCTGAATTTAATACATTTTCCAACTAAACTCTGAGAAATTTAGTATGGTTTATAGCTGAGTACTTATCACCTGGCAGAGAAAATAATTCCCAGATTACTTTGTTAATCTAGTGGTCTTTTGGAGTAGAGAACAGTAAATGTTCATAATGCTAACCAGAATCCAAGATAGGCAAATTGAACATTAAATTATTTAGACCTGTTCTTTTTGCCAAAGCACTAAGGATTAAAAAGCCAGTTAACCACTGGTGGTTGTTATTGGTCATGAGACAACTCTGGAGGAAAAGCATGGCATGTTTATGGTGATTTATCAGGAGACTATCATGGGGTCTTATTTTTAAACTGGAAAAACATGGGACCATTAAACTCAGGAATTTGTGCCTAAGAAGATGGCTCAGTGGATAAACTTGCTTGCTGCGTAGCCTGAGGACTTGAGTTCAATCCCTGGAATCCACATGGTGGAAGGAGAGAACCGACTGCTGTGAGCCATCTACCCCCACCCAAAAAACAACCAACCAACCAACCAACCAACCAAAAAACAAAACCCCAACAAACCCTCAGTAAACAGTGAGGGGAAGAAAAGAACTTGGATTGGAAACTCTTTGTATTTTGGGAAAACAAAATTAAGATAGAAGTAAAATAATTGATTTCCAAAACAAGAAATGTGAGAAGTGGAATGGGATGTAGTTTTCTTATTTTATAAATAAGAAAGATGAGGCTTGATTATCTCAACGAGAGGGAGAATTTAACCCAACCTGGGCTAGAGCTCAGATCAACATGACTAGTTTTCCTAGCAGTATGTGTTCCACGCTCCTGCCTGTCACTTATTCTTGTAGACCTGATTGCAGTTCTGTCTCTAGTACTATCCTTGTAGAAAAGTACGTAATATAGGAAACGCCCACAGAGACAAGGATCCCATGAATTTTACACCTGATTTACTGGAAGCAAACTTACTTGCTTTTCAGTTCTGAAGCAGATCATTCCGTAAAAGAAGATAATTATAGGAGTTAGGACAGGGCTAGTTCTGACAGGACTTAGGAGATAGAATGAAGTTCCAATCTGAGAGTAAAAAAGTGTATGACATTAACTCCAGCTGCCGTCTGCTCCAACCTTTATTCTGATTCAGGTGCCTGCATGGAAGGAGCTCTGTGTGTTGTCCCCAGCCCCGCTCTGCTCTAACCAGCTGTATGGCCTTTGGAAATCTTTCTGCCTGCTGTTTCCTCAGAAGAGGAAAATGAGGGGTTTTGGATTAGATGATGTCTAAGGTGCTTATTCTTCCTTTCCCCACTGAAACTGTCTTTAGTCCTTTATAAAGTTATAGTGCCATCTTGTGTTTTAAGATTTTATACCCAGATCCACAGTTGTAGCTGAAGTAAATCATGCTACTTTTCTTATGGGTAAAGCTGGTTTGTGTTTTGTTGGAGAGCTATTAATGCTTTTGTTGGATTCAACTACTTAAATCCACAAAAGAACATTTGAAGTTATTTCACGTGGCACATCATGGAGTCATTCATAAAAATTGTTGCCTTCCCATTTACTTCTGACCTAGGAAATTAGAACATGTAAGTCCTTATCTTTTGTTAAAATTGCTTTACCATTTTTCCTCCCTTCTGTAATTTACTACACCAAGATTTTCAGGTGCTGGAAATATGATTTAGTGGTTAAGAGCACTAGGTACGCTTCCAAAAGACCTGGTTTGCTTCCCAGTTCCAACACTATGGTTCCAGTTGTCTGTAACTTTTAGTTCTGGGGATCTGACTGACACACATACATACACACCCTTTCTGGATTGTGGGAACTTCATGCATCTGTGCACAGACAAATAAAGGGAGCAAATACTGATACTATACAAGAAAATAAAGTACATTTTTAAAAGGCTGCAAAATTGAGTGAGGGTTTTTTTCTCTTAGGTTGAAAGAGAATTTACCTCCAAGTGCATAAATATGTGTGGCTGAGATTAGAAGGTTGTAAAAGCATAGTAACAACCCTCCCAATAGAAGGTTCTGCCATCCAGAAAGAGCAAACTACAAATGTTCTGTTTGGCCCTCTACTTTTTAATACTGTGTTAGGATGAACAACGTTTATTAGTGACAGACCTGTCTTTAGCCATCCACCTTTTCTCTTGAAACTTTTCTCTTGTATGCTAGTTCTATGAAATGTTTTTAGCTATGAAACATGAATGTTCTCTGGTTTATGATTCCTAGTAGTTCACATAGAGGAATGTTTTCTATTGTCTCTAAATTTCCCATGGTACTCATTAACACATCTCTTGTTGATATCACTAAACCCTAACCATGCCTGGATATACAACCATGGAGAAATCTTAAGCATTTGTATTTTCTTATTTAAGTAAGAAAGCATATTATACTATATAAAAAATAATTGCCATTTTGTTACAAAGGATGTGTCACGCTTTCTTTAATCGTATTATGTTTATTACAATTGATTGAAAATAAATCTGGGAGGATATTTACTCAGAGCCCTGGAGAGTTATAGGGATCAGGTGATTTAAAGGGATTTTAGTATAACTGTAATATTTAAGTTGCTTGCCAGCAAGTTTTTTTTAAATCTATTTATTAATGATTTATAGATGTTTTATCCACCTTTAAAAAATAAATGAAAAATAGTATCTGTCAGTATCTTTTTGGTTTTGGAGTAATACAACCTTGGAGTAGTTTGGATTAAATATGTTCATGTACTTTAAGGCTGAGGAGAACTGAATCTTTTTCAGTTTTTTGAGATAGAATCTTATCCTGTAGCCCTGGCTGTCCAGGAACTCACTTTGTAGATCAGGCTCATCTTGTACTCAAAAAGATCCACCTGTCTCTGCTTCCCAAGTTCTGGGTTTAAAGGCATTGCACCAGTATGGGGACTGGACCACTGACTCTTAGGACAGAACTTTGAAATCAGCCAGTCAGGTTGTTCACATGTTTTTAACTAGTCCTTATGAGGACAGATGTGGTTGCAAATGCCATTAATTCTAACACTTGGAAGTCTGAGGTAGGAGGTTGGAGAGTATAGGGTAGCCTCAGCTACCATAGCAGGGCATTGCCTCAAATAAACAAACTAGCAGATTCTCTAAGAAGATATCTCTTGCCCCTTCCTGGCTACACCTTTTGTTCTTCTATGAAACAAGCTCTCACATTGAAGGCCAGGCTGGACTAGAACCCTACAGCCCAAGCTGTCCTCAGGTGTGCTTCTGTATCGGCTTCCCAGGTACACTTAGAGACCTAAGCCACCGCACCTAGTTCTACGAAAGGCTTCTTCAGATGTTAATACAGAGTGAGGGGCTGGGAACATAGCAGTCAGAGGAAGCAGATCACTGTCTTCTAAGGGTTGTAGTTAGAGAGTTCTAAGTGGGGAGATGATCACAAGATGAGCATTTGTGGGAGAAGAAAATGGCAGAAGTCAGACTAATGTCTCCATTCTCATTGAATGTGAATCGGTCCTAATTATCATCATTAACTTTCCTATATTCTTGTCTTAGGAAAAGAAGGCTGCATTGGAAAAGGAGCGGGAAGAAAGGATAGCTGAGGCTGAAATTGAGAACTTATCTGGAGCCAGACATCTAGAGAGTGAAAAACTTGCTCAAATATTGGCAGCCAGAGAATTGGAAATTAAACATATTCCATCTGATGGTCACTGTATGTATGGGGCACTTGAGGATCAGCTGAGAGATCAAGACTGTGCTCTGACTGTGGCCACCCTCAGGAGGCAGACTGCTGAGTACATACAAAGCCACTCAGACGACTTCCTGCCATTTTTAACAAACCCCAATACAGGGGATATGTACACTCCAGGTAGTTTAGCTTTCTTCACCACATTTTCTTAGTGTTTCTGGTTTTCAAATAAAGTGCTTCCTGAGTGTAGCAAGCAAGACCTTTCTTAATGAAGACAAAAGACCATTAACATTTAGGCAGGTTTATTTTCTATAATTTGGATACATGTAGATATATTATACTTTATCTTGTAAGTACTTAACAATTGCTATGTGTAAGTCACAAAAACAAGAGAAATAAGTGGGGAAGTCAATATTGAAAGGTGTGTTTGTGTTTATCAGGGTTAGAGGGAGGTGACGTTTTGATCAGTCTTTGTGAGTATTCATGTGTCTGGCATCAAGACCATGAGCAGAATACGGCTAAAAACTAACTTATCATACTCAGGGAAGTGTAATGTGTTACTTTAAATAAAGTATAGCTAGGAAGGTGACTAGTTACGTAAAATTTGATTTCATAAATCCCATGAACACTATTCCCTGATTGTTAAAATTGATGAGTAAGGTACAGTTTTTATGATGTTCAATGCTGTTGAGAGTAGTGAAATGGAGGGAAGATCACAGGTAAGACAGTAGCCACTGGGAGAGGGTCACATGGCCAGGTGGCTTGGAGGAGGACTGATATAGGCTGACTCCTTTAATGGCATCTGCCCTCCATGGAAGAAAGTAGACCGTAGCACAGGATGGACAGAATGAGCACTGTCATCTAATTGTCATTTGTGGTGAGCGAGGCATGCCTTAGGTATCTGGGTAGATCTCAAGTGTGACTTCATGTATCAGAATTCATAAATTTGTCTACCCCACTCTGCTAGTGGTAGAATGTTTAATCCGTGCTGCATCAAAGAAACAGACAAAAGATTTAGTTCATTCATTCAGCCAACTTTTATTGAAGGCTGTAGTGTGTGAAGTATTTTAGGGACTGTTGGAACAATGAAGACTTAATAGCAAAAGATATTAACTCATGGGGTATATTGTCTTTTAGATTTAGCTTTTCTTTCCTTCCTTGGATAAGAAGGATATTTGGCCCCATTTTATTTTTATTTTATGTATATGGTTGTTTTGCCTGCATCTATGTGTATGTACCATGTCTTAGTTCTTGGGTACCAGAAGAGGGTTACAAACAGGTGTGAGCTTTTTCGTGGGTGCTGGGAAATTAACTCCTTTCCAGATTCTCTGAAAGCAGCAAATGCCACTGAGTCACTGCACCATTTCTTGTTTAGCCCATTTTAATGTGCTACATTTAACAGGGTATATGTGCAGTAATTTGCCTATTATACATCCAGAGATTAAGCCTTTTACTTTTCAGAGCCCATTCAGTAAAATCTCTTCCGTGGCTAAAACACTGATACAGATCATGTAAAGATAAACAACAAGCAGGAACTGCTGCTGCCCTGGGGAGATTGAGCTCATTTCTACTTTGACTCTTTATGGGCTCTAGTAGTAAGCCTAGATATAGAAGGGCTGTATATTTTAACCTTGTGTGGTATTTTGCATGCAGCTTTGGCTTTAGAACACTTGTCAGGATAGTGAGTATTTGACACGTAAGGAATCATGGCTTTAGGTGATGACGAGAGCAGTTAGTCACATGTCTCTGGTCTCAGGTGGAAGGTCAGAAGCGGAGATGCTTTGCTCTTCCATAGGAGGATGGTGGGAAGGCGGGTGGGTGCATTTAGTGTACTTCTAAAGGGAGGTGCTACAGAGGGAGATGTTCTTCATCAGGGATGCTGGGAGCTACAAAAGAGACTGTAATGTGATTTCAGAAGTTATTCTGATCTGTTTCCTACAGAAGAGTTTGGAAAGTACTGTGACGATATTGTAAACACAGCGGCATGGGGCGGTCAGCTTGAGGTAAGCTGATTCACGATGATTGTCGATATTAAATTACTTCTGCCAAAAAAAAAAAAAATTAAAGAAGGGCAGGGCAGTGGTGGCGCACACCTGTAATCCCCGCACTTGGGAGGCAGAGGCAGGTGGCAGGTGGATTTCTGAGTTCGAGGCCAGCCTGGTCTACAGAGTGAGTTCCAGGACAACCAGGGCTAAACAGAGAAACCCTGTCTCGAAAAACCAAAACCAAAAAAAAAAAAAAAAAAAAAAAAAAATTACTTCTGAATCCCACTTAACAGTTTTTACATGTTTTTCAGCTAAGCACAGTTCTCTTTGAAGATGTCTTTTTTCTTTCTATATTTGCCATTTTTCTCCTGACAAAGATATAGAGAGCTATACATTATTGTGTCTGTGATTAAACCATGTCCCCTTGAGTAAGTGAAGTATGATTTCATCTTAAATAGCCCAGATTTGGATTTATGGCTTAACAGAAGCTGGTGTTGCATCTGTGTGTTGTCATTTGAGATACCAATCTGATTTTTCTGTATTTAAAAAAATGAAGACAAGCAAATGAAGCATTACTTGGTGTTGTGGTGCACACCTGTAATCCAAGCTAATGGAATGCCATCCTGGACACCGGTCTGCGCTACATGGTGGACCCTGTCTTAAAACAAGAAAAGTTGGTTTTATTCCCTGAATTTTAATCTAATAGTTCAATGTTGCCGAAATAACTTCTCCTTTATATCAGAAATAGAAATGAAGCAGGGTTGGCCCTATTAATGTGCCCATAATCCCATCACTATGGAGACAGAGGCCAGAGGAGTTGTTAACACCAGCTAGGCTATGCAAAATAAAGATTGTACTTTGTATAAAACATACCGTACCACATTTGTTACAGTTATCTATTGAATTCCTTCTTGATAGTGGATTATGTGAAGGCAGTAAATCAGTGCGGTGACATTTTTGTATAAGAAAACAGTAGAAACTTAACATTATTTCTTTGAGCATTAATTTATAAAATTTACTGTTAACCATGTAAATTACATCAGAACATCTATTTAATATTTAAGCCTGGTGGTGACAAATAATCTGAGATGTTAGATAAAGGATGAGACGCAAATCCTAGGCTCATGTTCTGACCTTCCCTCTGTGCCTTGGATGATTCTCCAACGTCATGTCCTCTAGTTCTCAGATGATTCAGTAAGACCCCTTGTAGTATATGAGTCTGTGGACTAAGATGCCAGATGGATGCCTCTAGCAGCCTTAGTCTTCTATGAAGGTGATTGGCATTAGTGGTCTGTGCTTCGGAAGACCCTTCACACTGTTGTTTGAAGATGAGAATGTTCCCTGGCAGTTTTTTAATACAGTGCTGTAGTGGACCTCTCCACTAGAGGGAGCCATGTCCATTGTTTTCTCTCCTGATTCAGACATACAGCAAATGGTCCACTAGTAATGACAGGGATAAAGAGACTTGAAGTACCTTTAATGTAAAGGTTCACAGAGTAACATATCATGCTTTTGGATAAAGTACAAGTAATTTTCACGCTTAGATAAATGTATACTTTTGGTCAAATCCAAAGTCAAAAGACAATCTTATACAGCGTGTGTGTGTGTGTGTGTGTGTGTGTGTGTGTGTGTGTGTTTGTGTGTGTGTGTGTGCGCGCTCTTGGGTGTGTGGTCACATGAGAGCCATAATGCACTAGTGGTAGTTGATAGCTTTCCGGAGCTAATGTTACTTCTACCATATGGATCAAATTGAAGTTGTCAGGTTGGTACAAGGGCCTTAACGTATTACACCATCTCTCTGGCCTTATTATATGGCTTTTTGAAGACATTGCTATTGCTTTGCACACTATTATGTGCTAGTTTAAAAAAATTCTTAAATGTGTTTTATAGGAATATTTTTCAGAATAGAATATGGGATTTTATTTTTTCATGGACCATAGAATCCAGTCCATATTCTTGAAGTAATTTTTAACATTCTTTTAAAGCCTTCTAAAGGTTATATGCTTGTGCTGTAAGTTTTGTAATTGGGGCAGGTACATACATTAGGATGTTGGAAGGCTGGTGGTGATGGATTTGGTTAGAAACTCAGGTTCTAGACTCAGCCTCCTTAGTTCAATATAGATTTGTGATTTTCTGATTGACCCTCAGAAGTCTTTTAACATCCTTCTACTCAGGTTCCAGGAGTTAAAAGGTAACAGTAAAGTGAAAATGTTGTTCCTCACTGGAACACTGGTTAGTACTTGGGAGACTGGCAGGAGGACTCCAAAGTTGAGGCCAGCCTGCTCTACATAGCAAGTTTCTAACTATCCGAGGTCATGTCAAAGGAAAATCAATACACAAACAAGCCCCCCCTCCCCAAACAAAAAACAACAGTGACAAAAACCCTTAACTCACCAATATTTGTTCCTTAAAGTTATTATGAAGACTGGATGAAATAATCCACATAAAGTGTACACATGGTTATAGTGCTTGGTTATAGTATGTCAATAGTTGTTAGCATCACTTTAATTACTGGCTGCTATTCATTACTCTTAAACCTAAGTTTTTATTGCATATTATAAAATTAAAGTAATATAGCTTGCTGACCAGATGGAGATTCTAGCACAGTGCAGAACAATTCACATACTTATGTTGTTCTTGCTGAAAGTCACAGAGCCATGGTTCTTGATACTGACTGCATTAGTGTCATCTGAGAAGGTTTTAAAAGTGAACCTCACGTTTTGCCAGACCTTATTCCCTGTCTTTTCGCTGGTAACAATTTGGTCTGATGCTTAGCCATTGGTACTTAAAAAAAATGTAGCATTATGAAAAATGGAGTGTTTTCAACTTCAGAGACTGTAATAAGTAGTATACTCTTTACCCACTTCATTAAGCTTGATATTGGTGTTTTTTTACAATACTATTGTGTGTTCAAGTCAACTCTTGCCTTTGATGAAGTTATATATTTAATTTTTTTTTTCAGCAATTCACCAAAAACTAAGTGTCCATTTACCTGAACTCTTGGTGCTCATATGAACAGAGCAAATCTCTGCTCTAACTGGTTGCCATGTTCTGTTCTGTGTATGTACTTCAGTAGTTTGTGATTTGAATAAGATTTACATTTTGTTTTTCTTGCTAATCTATTTCCCCCCTGTAGCTAAGAGCTCTGTCTCACATCTTACAAACACCCATCGAGATACTACAGGCAGATGCTCCTCCTATTATAGTTGGTGAAGAGTACCCAAGAAGCCCGTTAGTACTGGTGTAAGTACCTAGCAATGTTACTGTTTTACTTTTCATAATTAAAACAAAAATGCACGTGAAAAGATTTTAGGTTGTATATGCTGACTAATCAAAATGCTGTAATCAGCTGAATTCTGTTTATGTTAAAGGCAATCATAGAATTAGAAAGCATCTGAACGTGTGATTTACATAATTGCTTAGACTATTGAGCCCTTTTTTTTTGTATGAGTTAAGAATAAAGTTCTTCAAAAGGCTGTGAAGTTTTAGGGCTAGTTTTGTGTGTTGCCCCGTTTGACATTAATAGCACTGAGTTTTCACTATCATGCTTCATGCTGTTAATGTATTTGCATGATTGGGAATTGGCCCTCCATATTCAGCTTGGAGGAATAATTTCTCTAGTTTTTCTCTCTTGTGTGCACGTGCATGCCTCTGTGTGTGTGTGTGTGTGTTAGCTATTCTTACTTATTATTCTTATTAATGGCCTAAACTTTAGTGAGACTTTGAGCTCACCGAGCCCTCCACACCTCGCCCTTTGTGCTTCTCGTGACTGGACTGCTTGCTCACTTCCAAACCTTGTCACATAATGTTGACCTCTTAATGAATATGCTCACAATAGTCCGTTAACACTATCTCTGTGAACTGGGACATTCAGAGTGTGTAGTTAGATATGTCTGTATACTACATACATTTATAACTCATCAAAATGCAATCTCATTCTTTTCATTTCAGATACATGAGGCATGCGTATGGCTTAGGAGAACATTATAATTCTGTTACACGGTTGGTGAACTCAGCTACTGAAAATTGCAGCTAGTTTACAAGATGTTACACTGTTTTATAGAGTGTGCCAATCTACCAAGTGCTAGATTGTTGTAAATGCTACTGAAAAACACAGCTACCTTAAATGACTTGTATGAATAAGCTTACTAACAGGCATTTAAGAAATACGTTGGATTAACTTTAACCAGTGCTCTCTTAGTGGCATTTTTAGAATTGAAAGTCTATTGTGGAGAATATCATTCATAGACCAAGGTGTTACTCTTCGCACTAATTAATTTTAGTTGTCCTGCACATTCTGATTTGGAATAAATTTTGTTTTAAATTTTGGCCCTACAGCTTTATGTTCCAAAAGTAAGGATTTCAATTTATTTATTTTTTTTAAAGTTTGGAGACTTGGTCTCTGTCATGATAGGAATATATTGTAGTGACAGCGGTCCCAGTGACTTTGGTAATACTAGGGTCAACAGTGTGCTGCTCTTTATGCAGCATATCTCTGCTGCTAAGAAGAAACTACTTCAGTAGTTAAGAATTTTTGAATACTTACATGAGAATCAGTATAGTTAAAGAAATGAAACAAAATCATTGGTAAATAGGTGTTTATTGTGTCAATTTTGAATCTTTCTAACAAATTGGAGATTTCCCTTTTGTGTATGTGTAGCTTTAAAAGTTTGTAACTCCTGCATTGCTGGTTTTTCAGCCAGAGCCTGGAGTTAGACTTGGACCTTGTTTCTCTTCACAACTGAATTTTTACACTTTTCCTAACACTACTCAGCTGCTTTGCTTTCTCTAGAACCTTTCCTACTGAGAGGCATCCAGTGGGCGCTCATTGCTCACCTGTGCAAGGTGGTGCTGTAGTAAATGCAGAAAAGGCCATGGCCACGTTCCCTCTTTTTAGTCTTCCCAGCTGTCCTAACAAGATCTCTGCTTGAGCTCACTTTCTAGGATGTAGTGAAAACCCTGGCTACAAATGATTTCCTTACATAGTGTATCACTTTTTTCACTCAAATGTTTGATTATTGTATTTTATGTATAGGAAAAGTTGAAGGCCACTGTTCAGAAGCAGAGAGCTGTGTGATAAAATCAGTACAGAAGAATTTTATGTGGAATGACTCATGTACTCAGACTGTTAATCACTTAGAACAGGATTCTTTGTAAGAGTCGTGCCCACACACAAGTGTGTTGCTGTTTTTATGGAACACAGTACCATGCGATGGGGACACAGCTCTAGTAGAGTAGGTGCCTATTGTGCATGAGACTCATGGGTCAATTTCTAGCACCAACAAAACACATCAATTTATGAAAATGAGACTTTTTGTTGTGATCTGTTTTTTTTCCAAGTTTGAACTATAACTAAGATTGAGCATCATGTTTATAGTATTTGGGCTTATGAAGTTAAAAGCAGGTAACAATGTGTGTGGCAAGCTGGCAGAGACTGATTAGCAGAGCAAAGACTTTCTGAGATCATTCCAGCTGACTAAAACATACATACTCTGCCTGCTACACAGTGTATTCTGAAGGGTATCTGCTTTGTAACCTTTGATTCTTTTTTATTCTGAAATTTATAAAAGCATAAAGTTGTAAAATAAATGCTTTGAACTTATTTTGAAGTAATGTTATCTTCATCTGAGTATCAGCCTTAAGGAATAACAAAACATTATGAAAGTTATTGAAAATTCTATTTTCAACAAAGATACTCTAAAATAACTCATTAATGTTTCATTGTTTTGACAAGAATTCAAATGTACTTAATTATGTATTTTTAATTTTTGTTTATATGTCTTATTTTAAAATGGCCAGTATATTATGAGTAAAATATATGGCCCACTTCTATCATTTTAGCTATAAATGGAAAAGTCTTTTAAAAATGGTAGATGTTAATTTAAAAACAACATATGCAAATTAAGTTTGCTGCTGCTGGTCTGATGGAACTTCCACAAGCCTTTTTTTTAGTCCTGATTGAAAACATTTATGTCAAAATTCTGGAATGTGTCTTCAGCCAAGAATTTTATGTACTTACATATATTTATAACCTGTAAAAAGTAAAACGAAGAATGTGTAATTGTTGTGAGCAAGATAGCTTTGCTCATAATATCTGATGTTTACCAAAACAATAAATGATAAAGGAGTTGAATCAACATGTTTATGTTCAAATTGTCTTTTTAACAGTTTCAGAATGTAGCAGTGTAACTCATTTTGCTTTCAAGCTTTATCCAGCTGTTTTTTTTCTTTACATATTGAGAATGTTACAATTACAGATTCTTGCACTTAAGGGCCTCTCAGTAAATACAGGAGCATATCATTATGCCCAAAGTAAAGAGAGATAAAAATGAAGTGGCCAGTTATGCCTCTGCTTTTAGAAGAAATACAGTAGAAGCTTAGCACTACATGGATCAATGGATGTTTATTTTGGATCAGAACATTTTATAAAAACATTGTGTAAGATTTATGAGGTTCTTTTGTTTGATTGTTTTTGTTTTGTTTTTTAAATCAGGGCATTACTGAAAGGTACATCTGTGCCAACTAGTGGCTGCAAATTGGTACCTGCCCACAATTATTAGTATCTTGGTCCAACTGTCATGAACCAGTGTAAGAGCAAATCAGTTGATTGTTGAGAATGTAATTGCTGGTTTCATAACTTTAGCTTTTAATTTTTAACATTAGTTGAGCAAATGTTTTTTTCTCTATTTAATTTATTTCTTTTATCTTACCTTATTTAAAACCTTTCTCCATCTTTAAACTCTGGTAGTGTCAGTTCTTTCCCTTGAATGCACTCTAGTTTTCCTGAGTCAGTACTCATCCTTGGCTCTCTGTACTGAATAGCCACCCTTGATTCATCTCACTGATCACCCACCTTATGCTCTACTCCCTGTACTCACCCTGACTCCCGCTCTCAACACCCACTGTTCTCTCCTCACTGAACACCCACCCTGCTCACCTCAGGGAAACTGTTGGGCTTTTATTCAGAGGCAAATGCTTTACCTGCTTCACCTTTTATCTGCTTTCCCTAGGTAAATGGACCCTTCTAGACCTTCAGACCCAGCCTAGATTGGATGATGTCTGACTCTCTAGTGCCTACACACTGAGAACTGGTTACTTATGCTTTGTTTATTTTCCCCTAGTTTAAGTGCTTAGAAATAACTTTTTTCTTTTTTTTTTATTTTAATATTCTTAGGTTTTCCCCCTTCCCAGTCTCCCCTCTATGAACCCCTCACCATATCCCCTTCCTTTTTGCTTCTAAAGAGGATGCTCCGCTACCCACTCCCCCCTCACACTTCTAGCATCCCCCTTCTCTGGGGCATCAAGCCTCTACAGGACCAAGTGCATCCTCTCCCACTGATGAGTAGCTGGAGCCATGGACCGGCTCATGTATATTCTTTGGTTGGAGGTTTAGTCCCTGGGAGCTCTGAGGGGTCCAGTTAGTTGATACTGTTGTTCTTCCTATGGGGTTGCAAATTCCTTTCAGCTCCTCAGTCCTTCCTCTGACTCTTCCATTGGGGTCTCTGGGCTCAGTCCAGTGGATGCCTGTGAGTATCTGCATCTGTCTTAGGTGCTGGCAGAGCCTCTCAGAGGACAGTAATACCAGGCTGTATCTGCAAGCACATCTTGGCTTCAGCAATAGTGGCTGGGATTGGTATCTGTGGGTGGAATGGATTGTATGGTGGGGGCAGTCTCTGGATGGCCTTTCCTTCAGCCTCTACTTTATTTTTGGCCCTGCATTTCCTTTAGACAGGGACAATTCCCGGTTAATTTTTAGATGGTCAGTGGCCCCTCTCTCCACTGGGAGCCATGTCTATCTACTGGAGGTGGTCGCTTGAGGTTCTATCTGCCTGCTGTTGGACATTTCAGCTAAAGTCCCACTGGGTCTTGGGAGCCTGGTGTCTGGGACTTTCTAGGGATCCCCTCTCCTGTTCCCCACCCTCTACTGCTACATAGTTCTTTTCATTCTCCTTGCCCTCTGGACTTCTTTCCTGATCCTGCCCCTACATTTCCCCTCCCGTCTCTCACCCAGTTCCCTCCCTCCTTCTGCCTCCCGTGATTATTTTGTTCTCTTCTAAGTGGGATTGAAGCATTCACACTTTGACCTTCCTTCTTGTTATGCTTCAGATAGTCTATGAGTTGTATCATGGATATTTTGAGCTTTTGGGCTGATATCCACTTATCAGTGAGTACATACCATGCATGTCATTTTGGGTTTGCGTTTGCATTTTGGGTCTCACTCAGAATGATATTTTTCTAGTTCTATCCATTTGCCTGCAAAATTTGTGAAGTCTTCATTTTTAATAGCTGAGTAGTATTCCGTTGTGTAAATGTACCACATTTTCTGTATCCATTCTTCCATTGAGGTACATGTATTTGGGTTGTTTCCAGCTTCTGGCTATTATAAATAAGGCCGCTATGAACATAATGGAGCACATGTGCTAGTGTTATGGTGGAATCCCTATCATCCCTGGTGTCTGGGACTTTCTAGTGGATGGGTGGGTGTATATGTCCAGAAGTGGTATAGCTGGGTCTTCAGACTGATTTCCAAAGTGGTTGTACCAGCTTGCAATCCCACCAGCAATGGAGGAGTGTTCCTCTTTCTCCACATCCTCGACAGCATCTGCTGTAGTCTGAGATTTTGATCTTAACCATTCTGATTATTATAAGGTGGAAACTCATGGTCGTTTTGATTTACATTTTCCTGATGACTAAGGATGTTGAACATTTCTTTAGGTGCTTCTCTGCCATTCTTGTTAAATCTATTAAAAGATTTAGCTTGGGCTGGAGAGATGCCTCAGCTGCTCTACCAGAGATCCAGAGTTCAATTCCTAGCAACCACATGCTGGTTCACAATCATCTGTAATGGGATTTGATGTCCTCTTCTGGTGTGGCTGAAGACAGAGATGGTGTACTCACATATATAAAATAAATAGATCTTTTTAAAAAAGATTTAACTTAATAGGTGCTTATTAAATGTATGCCAAAAGTCATTGATTTTTATAGTCCTTGTTTTTATACTGTAGGATGAAATTGTTGGGGTTGTCTCATGGACTTTACCAGAAGAACGTATTTGATACTTTAGCAGATAAACGATGTAGGTTAGAGTTGAGAGGACAGATTCAAGAGCTTGTTAAATAATTGGCAACTGTGAGTAGAGAGAATTATGCTTGGTCATGAAGAGAGTGCTTTCTACTTTACCTTACCTCAGGTCTTTTGGTGATTGGAGAAGGAAAAGGAACAACCTGAAAACATTTTCTCCTTTTTCAGGTATCCCTAGTCTGAAAATCCCAAATTTGAATTATTCTAAACTTTAGAACTTGCAGCACTGACCCCATAAATAGAAAAGGCTATGCCATTAGACTTTTAAGTTTCCTGCACAAAAACTTGAAAAAATATTATACAAAATTGCTTGGACTATGGTAGGTCTGTATGATAGAAATACATCACAGATAAGTTCCATACTTAGAAACAAGACTCATTATCAAGCTTGTGGTGTGTAAGCAAACAGACCGTAATTCTGAAGTACCCAATATCCAAAATTTCAAATAAACTTCAGCCTATAGCATGTAACTATTAGTCTATCTTTATCAATGAAGTTAATGCCTGGTTTTAATGAATATTTAAAATATAAGGAGTGTATAGGTTAAATAAGTATTAAAAGCTATTTGATAGACTTCTCATGGAAGGTTTATAGGGGCCAGTGAAATTAAACTATAATACCTCTGAGTGTAAGTGTTTGCCACCAAGTCTGAAGTCATGAGTTTGATCTCTATCTCATAAGACAGAAGGAGAGAACTAACAGGTTGTCCTTTGACCTCACATGTACCACATGAGCTTTATAGTTTTATTTCAGCATAGTTAGCATGGCTAGCTAGTATGACTTACTGAAATACATCATTGCCTTTCCAGAGGGCTGGTTTGTCTCCTAGATAACTCTAGATTCTGTCAAGCTGACTGAGAACTTAGGTGTGATTAGAGAGATGTCTCAGTGCTTAAGGACTCAGTGTTCTTGCAGAGGACCGCCTTCCCTCCTCACTCATTCCCGGGTGGCTCACAGCTGCCTGGAACTCCAGCTCAACGGGTCTTGTGTCCTCTTTTGGCCTCCAGGGGCAGTGTACTCATGTGCTCATGTCCTCTCACAGATATGCATGCATATGCATAAATAAAAGATAAAAATAAAATTATAGATCCTAAAGACTTCCTGGGAAACTATCATTCCTTAAAAAGGAAAACTTGAGGTAATTTTAGCTAGCATTTTCACATATTCTATGTGATTTATGGTTATGAGAATAGTTATTCTATAAATGATATTTGTTTTTGATCTTTGGGAAGAGAGGCAGAGCCATAATAAGACATTAATCTCTTGGAAAACTAAACTCTCGAGACAGTGGATAAATCAACTTTGGAAGGGCAAGGGCAAGGAAGGCTTTACTTTTGCCTGCAGTGGCCAGGTTGAGACCACCAGGGTGGGAGAAGGTGAAAGTCACAGCGGTTCTGGTTTGTTCCTTATCTAATACCTCGAATTTTCTTGTAGTTAGTTTAGAGGTTTGATTGATTTAGCAAGGGTTACAGTTTTGGTTATGATAGTACTCTTAGATGAGTTCTTATATTGTGGTTATT